TATCTCGCGTAAAATCGCTGGCAATAGTGGTCTCCTACATCACCCTCTCAAACAAACCCGAACAATATTCGCTACAACTTCATAAAAGAAACATATTCATGCTTACGGGGAAAAATTACCAAAGTTAATAACATTGGTGCGTATGGAAGAAACAGGGAAACAATCCATCTGTTACAGATTACCGTAACACATCCAAACCATGGCTTTCTTCGCTGCTCATATGATGCGTGAAATTTTGACTCGAATTTCGAATACTGAATTCGATACTTGAATTTTAACTTCATTTAGGTTATTTGTTGGAGGGATTTTGAAAAGAAAGTCGAGATTTGATCTGAATTTGACTTCGGAAAGTGACTGAAGGTTACAAAAGTAAGGAATGAAAGGAAAAAAGATACGAATCATGCAAATAAGTAGTTTTTGATCCACAGCTTAGATTAATTAAAATAGCACCGACAGTCTACTTGATGCATGCATGTTGTTATTTCGTTGATCTGATAAGCATTTTCAATCAGATATGTTATGAGAAACTGTCAGCGAAATTCTTCACTTGCGAGAACAAGAGATGCAAGTCATAGTCTAAATCAGCACGCATTTCCAGTCGACAATTCTGCTCTGTGATAACTTTAGCAGTAATACTGTTGTTACTACTGCATGTCACACTTTTAACTGGACTGTGTATGGTATAGAAACAGGAAGAAATTATACCAAAGAAATGAGGAAAACAAGAAAAGTTGTACTATGGACAAGGTTAGTAGTCCTACAGCCCACAACTTCAGTTGGCTTTTAGTTACCAGTACCTTGCGAGATAGAACTTTCATCTGACTTCCAAAAGTAAAGCAGAAATTGTTTTGAATTCGACCCAACAGAAACATAAAAGCAGAAATTGTTTTGAATTCGAACCCAACCGAATGAATGCGCAGCACTGAAATATTTCTAAGGTAACATCTAGATCCAAAAATGAATCCCATCAATTTGCTTCCAGATTAGATTTTTATTTAGAACTAATTTTATTTAACTTGAACAAGCAGACGGTTGCAAGTCCCTTTAAATTTGAATGAGCTTCAGAAATCTTTTCAAGGTGAAAATGGTTGGGACTACGTATTGCAATTGGAGTGATTTCTGCAATTTGGCTAGTCAACTAACCACTTTTATCTTACAAGGGTGTATTCAATCCGGAAATCTTCATACCTTTCATCTCGAATAGTTTGGAATCGTCCTCATAGCTTCCGTCTTTGCTACAATTACTGATTTAATCTTGAACTGCAACTGTCATCCAGCATTCAAACATACGACTTTGAATGATTGGCCTAGTTTTGGTTGAATGACTGGCTTAGTTTTAAGTGAAAAACGAATTATATCTCTCACACCATAATGCTTTCTCAATGTTTAATCTCCATGATTCTTGTATTTTATGCTTGTCGTGAAAACACAAATAAATTTGGACTAAAATATCTAGGAAACGAAGGATTTACTATTGAGGAAATGTTGTAAAATTTGGACTTTTGAATTATAAGCACGAATGGTGTATTCAGCAGAAATGTTTATTAGGCACGAAATACTTAGAACAGTAATCAATGTGAAATCAAATAGTATAGCGAAATATGGCGTCGGGATGAACGTAGGTTGATGAAGCGATGAGTCGACTGGAGGAAGAGGAAGAATAATAATGATAATGATCCGGGAGAAAGACATGACCCCTTACCGTGTTTACTCTGAAATTAATCATCACCTGAAAAATGCGCCTTGTCGCAGCCGTAAGGAGCAACAGTGTCGATACTCCTTTCAAAAGCACCAGTCCCTGGATGAGGCCTCAAGTCCACCACCACTCCGTACTGGTCTTTCTCTGCCTCGTCACCGCTCAGTGCGGCCACGGGTGACGTCTGCTGGCTGTGCCAAGCCTCCAGACTTATCTCTCTGATGATATCCGACGTCTGATCTTCCCGCGTGGTAAAAGACAAAGAGTGATAAAAGAAAAAGCCATTCTGTGGAGTACAAGAAAGGAGCTGCTGAGGACTCCCAGGGCAAAAACCTTACAGCTTTCCGCAAAGGAAGAAATTGGATGTCCGATTGGTCCGAAAATAGCGAGCAGAATGCGGTAGCCTCAGTGAATAGATGAACAAGGAAAATGCTAAGCACAAGTGTGAGTCGAGTCGGCAACCATTATTTCCAGAGCGGGAACATATCATCTGTGAACGGATTGCTGACAGAAGAGGAAAGGCTTTGGTTGTTTGCAGGGATGATATTCAAGCATTTGCCCTTCCAATGACGCCATAGTTAGAAATACCTCCATAAAGCATCACAACACGACTGGCTAGATGACTTCCTTAAGCAATATGAACTGTCTCCAAGATCAACAACAATGTTTAAGCTCAAAGATATTGAAATTATTAAACGTGCACTTGCATTCAACTCATTTGTAAATGGCATTGACTTCTATGGATGAAACTACAGATTTTATGGGCCAAGGATCTCAAACAATTGATCAGAGGAATTCCTCATCAATCTACGTTTCCTCCACTGGTGCGAAAGTGTATGTATTACCTGTGTTTCGGCAATTCATCTGGACGGAAAGAAAGTCCACCCCTAAGGCCAAGAAAGAAAAGATTGCACGTGTCTCAGGCATTTTATGTTTTGCAACTGAAAAAGCCTAGTGTGCACAAGCAGTTATGAGGAAGTAAGTCGATTTAATGCCGCCACTTGTTTAGCCAAAGAGATCCTGCCAGTCTGGGATTCAGCCAGCACTCACCGTGCTAAAGACCTAAAGGAGTTCCTTGCAAAAAGAATAGATCAAATAATGATTCCTGCAAGAATGGCTGCCTACCTCCAGACTCTTGATATTGCAACAAACAGGCCATTCAGGGACCACCTGAGCATGAAACCCAATGACTAGACTGGAAATAGAATGGAGAGAAATCAACGTGGAAACTTCGTGAAGCCTAATTTGCAAGAGTCGAGATACGAAGAATCCATAGGATAAAGTCATTGACAGCTACGTTGCCAATACACTACAAGGAGGCTACATAGATGAGAAGTGCTCAATTATGGAGAACGCTATTGCCGGACGTAAGAGACTGGGGCCAATGGTTCTACAGGAAATGAAGTCGCAAGAAAGTCTGGAGGGATTTGTGGGTTTGAAGAATTAAGACGATATTCCAGAAGATGACATGACTATATATGAATATTATTGTATCGTAAATGAATAAATGAATAAAATGTAGATTGTCGTATATAAAAAATAAACAATATGTACCATTGTACCGTGTTTCTTCGAAAATAAGACATCCCCTGAAGATAAACCCAAGACATTTTTTTTTTTTTTGGGGAGGTAGGGAGAGAGGAGGGAATATAAGATCCTCTTATTTTCGAAGAAACACGGTATATACAGAAGTGGCAGGGTTTGCAATGTCTGTGAAGGATACATATAACTATAAAAACGGGGATTTACAGCACAATTCCCAAATGATACAGTAGTAAGTAATGTACTCTCACATTGGGCTCTGTCTATTACTGTATATAGACAACTAATGTGGATAAGCAAAAGGAAAACTAAAATATTACCAGTCAATATAAGACACAGTCAAATTGGGGAATGCTGCTTCGGGTTTCCTGACACAAAAAGACAAGCTCCATGTTGCGACAATATTGGTCCTTCTTGTCGATCTTCTGGGTTGATTTCTTACGAATTAACTGAATTTTAGAGTGAATTATTGGTCTGTACAGAACTTTTCCATTTGGCATTTCTATTGTGACATTTCTTAATTCTCCATTTCCTTTAATTTCCTTTATGTTTGCTAATTTCCACATGCCACGAGGTATTTCCGGTTCATTAACTCAGACTACGTTCTTATGTGGAGTTTTCGTTTCCACGTTTTTAAGGGAAGGAAGTTGTTCTTGGATAAGTTCCTTCGAACTATTTAAGTGGTCACTTCTCTACACTTTCCGAGTGTATCCAGGGCTTTAAGCCTTTGTAAGGTTTTCCTTAATATTTCGTTTATGAAGAGTAAATTCGTCCTAATCATTGTCATTACTGGTTGGTATGACTAAGCACTAGGTGAAATGAAATCAGCTGGACGTATGGATAACATAACCATCAAAATTTCTATTAGTGGTCTGGTATAGAGTATACGTTCAACTTCCACTATTATTTCTTGTTCTCACAATAATTTTTCACTTCTAGCCCTTCTCATCGCCTTCCATAAACTCCTTCACTTCACAGAGCCTTTGATAGTCTATTTTTCCAGACCATTTCTTTTTTCTAGGAAGTTGGCACTTTGTTCCATAATGGTCTTGAAAACTAATTGAAATTGACTAACGTTATCTCTCGTTTTGAGAGAATTCAGGATAACCACGTCAAACAGTGAATCTTAAAATGTGCATGTGCAAAACACCTCCAGATGCACCGCTCTCGTTGTAAAACATGTGAATAGAGCTAGCTACCCATCTCTTGGTAATGCTATTATCATTTTTGACAGACACAAGACCTAAATAGTCCAATCCAACCTTTTCACAGGTTCTAGAGCGTTTAACTCGTACTCTTGGAAGATTAGGTATGACCGGCAATTTGAATGATCTACTTGCTCACAGCTCACAAGCTATACATTCATTTACTTCCGTCCTACCTTCTGGTACCCAAAATTTGGACCTCATTTCTGGCAGCGCATGAGCAATTCCTGCATGATATAAATCTTCATGTTGTTGCTTGTCCAGCTCCGTTATTGAATTATGTCCCGGTAGCAAGAGTGGATGTCTACTTTCCTCATCCAATTCTAAATTTCCCAATCGACTTCTTGATCGCCATAATTTGATTCCATTATAACAAGGATTCCAGTTATTTATTCATTTATTCCTTCCGATCGCGCTTGTCTAACCAGCACCTTTCCTGTTAATTTGTATCATCTGTTGTAAGTTGATCTTTCTCCGTTGCGACTGGTAATAGCCATGATATTTTTCTTGCTAATTTTATAAATTTGAGAATCCATGCGGTAGTTTTCACGAAAATTTCTTGTCCTAATTCGTGTTAGTAACCTTCACGACAGTTCTCACTTCCTTTTCCTTATTTTCATTAATCTGTGGAACTGAATTCAATAGCGGCCAATTAGTTCCATTCCCCTTTAACCATATCGGTCCTTTCCATCACAGTTTATAATTCCCAAATTTGATAGGAGAAAGTCTCTTTGTTGCCTCATCGATTGGGTTATGCTTGTTTGAAATATAATGGGAGTTTCACCTTTCGTATTTTTTCGATTCGATTTTGTATGAATGGTGGTGGTAATTTGGACTTTTTGTATCCAGTGTAATACAACTTTAGAATCCGACTACAAGGTTGCTGATGTTTTTGATATCCAACTGTTTTATAATGAACTGGGCTGCTCGTATCTCGATGAGTATCGCTAGTAATTCTACTATAGTAATACCTTTATCTAGAGGCTTTGCGAAAATCAAGGATGGTTCTCCTTGAAGTCCATAATTTAATACGTATATAGTTGCTGAACAGACTACAGCTGATGCATCAGTGAAGACATGTATCTGCACCTGCTCAATGAGTTTCACCGCTAATCGCGGTAGTTCCATGATATCTGTTGCCCATTAATTTATAGGAGATTGTCGTGCTTCCTTGTCTTCACTTATATTCACTTTTTTCCTTATCTTCCCATCTTCACTTATAATTTGATCTACGAATTGTCTTTCTTCCATAAGTTTTGAAGAAAACTTTTGAATCGGATCATAAGTCAGAACTGAAAAACCTAACGGATCATACTGAGAAGCTATGAACTGCAAAAGTGTTTTCAGTTAGTTCCTTTTCTCGCCAAGGCTTCAGAGTCATTGGTGTTACGTCTTTATCATAAATCCAAATACCAGGAACCTTTTTTGATCTGCATCGGCTCGATCATGATCGGTGGTTTCATATTCAAAGTCTCATTATTTGATAAAAGATTCTCGAATATTGATGGAGGCTTCTGTAAAGACAGTTTCCATTTCCCGATATTTCGTAAGTGGCTCTTGTGTCTCTTTGACTGATATCATAGTATTATCGACATAAAGATTTTCTCTTTCTAAAGCGGTATTACTACCATTAATCTTCAAGTGTCGATCAAGAGTAACTGAGAGCAGAAAAGTGATAACATTGCAAATGAAACTCCTTGGGAACGATAGCACTTCAAGTTTTCTTCGGTTATTTGGTTGCGAATATCTTTTACCCAAAAAAATCGAGTGCAATTCCGTTCGGAGGGATGCAGTTCTACTTGTAAGAACGCCTTTTCAATATCAGCTACCATTACTTTTTCCATCATGCGAAAGCGTAGAAATATTCCCGCTAAATCTGGTAACACTATCGATCCACGATATCGTTCAAACTTTTCATTCCTGTAAGGACGCTGAGGCACTGTAAATAGTGCTTGGTTTTGTTGTAGTTTCCCCTACCTTTACAACTTCGTTATGGGGTTAAATAGTGATGCTTTCTGGTCCATTACGAGAGTTACTTCTTCAATTATATTCGAACGCAGTCTCATCGTATTGTTGAAGCAAATGATGACTGGTTCGAAATCATTTGCCGAGTGAGTTTGGTAGTCGTCTAAAATATGGTTGCTCAGTTTAGCTCTTGACTCTTTCCATGGCTAACGGACTCGATACCTTCCATTATATTTACTAATGCCTTTCCCAAATTGTTTCAACGCCTCATTTTGTGGATTAGGTTGTTCTTGAATGCATATGACTTCCAATTTTCAAAATTAATTTACGTTAGGAATGTTGGCGTGCCAGCAATGAACATATTGATCATATATGGTAACGCAGCTTCCTCCGATCCTGCATTAGAATGCGGAACTTATTCATGTAATCACTTCCTGGCACAGGGCCAATTTTCGTTTGGAATAAGGAAAATCCTGACCTGAATTGTTCAATCTTTTCCAGTTGGAGAAATTCAGAGAAATTGTCAGCTCCGATAAATATATCAGGCTATCTCCAACAACTCCTTAAACTGTTTAATTGGCCTCGAATTTACATGGATGACAAGTCATAATTATTTAATTTTACTACTTGCAATTTATTGGTTCATCATATTAGATTCGAATTTTACAGCCTCGTTTTTACCAGTTCTTATCCCAATTCCTGCTTCGGTAGTAAGAGAGACATTTCGGTTTCCTACTACCAAATGAAGCAAAATTCAGTGGTCCTTCCACTTGTAGATTTAATCCTTGCATGCAAAGGATAACTGCGAACCATTAAACAGTACCAAAGTTTTTTCTTGGAATTCTGGCATCTTTGGGTTGACTACTCTGATTCCTCTTCCTTACCTTTCTGATCCTTTTCTTTCGTTAGAGAATTATGGTTGTGCACTTAAATCCTTCGGTTAGTTGACCCAACAATTTGTGTACACCACCTTTGTCACTTTATGTAGTACAATGAGCATTTTGGCATTCACCATCCCAATTATTTTTAAAAAACACGAAGTTTTTGCCTTACCGGATTTTGCGTCTTCCCTTGAATTCGTAGCCAACTTGTAACTATTTGTTTTAGACCGCTTGAAAGTAGCTAAAGCAGAAGTTTCTCTCCTGGCTTAGAGTTAATTGGTTCCTTCCTCCTTCTTGCTGCTAAAGATTTGGCTTTGAGTTATTCATTTCTTTGTACTAGTCGTCTCAAAAAATTTCGGAGCTAAGTAACATACCATGATTCCGTTGATATACGTTGCCTGTTGGTATACCTTGTCCAGTAGCCAGACATTTGCTCTCAACGATAGTTCCAACACTTCAATGTTCCATGTTCTCATCGCTTCTAATTATCTTCGACGATTGTTCCTCACTTGCGATCATTTCTTTTAATGGAGTGTTGCTCACTATACAGGAATTTATTGACCAAACTTTGTTATCAACACTTCTCTTACGACGTCATAGTTCATTGGAATGGTATCGTAGTCTCTCATGGCCTGTAAAACATCTCCTTTAAAGTAAGATGGTTCAACTTTCGGACGTCTCGTACGGCTTGGAATTGCACTGCAGTTTCAAAGTTGCTTGGAATTCTCACACTTTTGAATCACCACTGAATACCGATAGTTGTAACTGTGGTAAATTCACTGTTAGCTATTTGAGATGACTTCTGTTCAGTTAGTTTCCATTTATACAGTTTTGGCTTAGATATCGGAGTGCTAGCCCAGTGCCATTTCCGTACATGTCCAGAATTATAACAGCTTCACCGTCAAACGTCGTATTTGTCTCCCTTTTCTTTTCTTGTTTGTGAGGTCCTGATTCACTTGATAAATTCTAACCATTCCTTGTTGGCCGACTCCAGAACGCCGATGTGTGGCTCGAGATCAAGGCGTCTCACTCCCTCCCCGACAATTCCTTCCTTAGTATCATATTGCTACTATAATTCTTCTGGTAAATTTGATCTAGAAACGTGACGTCTATATCTTTGATTCCGTCGAATAGCTTCGCCTTTACCTGGTTTAGCACTTTATTACAGCAGTTGCCATTATCCCACCTCACCTCACCAAAAATTTGTATCGTGAAAGTTTGTACTGCGAGAATACAAATGGAATTTGAATCGAAATATTGTAAGAAATAGTCTACTTTTGAGGAGGTACTGTTGTAAAATTCAAACTTTTGAGCTGTAACCACGAATGGCTTAGTTGGTAGCACTGTTTATTAGGCGATGGAATACTTAGGACAGTGATCGTTGAAAAATCGAATGGCATAGCGAACTATGGAGAACGGAATGAGCGTAATCTGGCGAAGCGACAGATCGACTAGATAGAGAGGAAGAATAATAACGGTAATGGTCTAGAATGAAGATATGAGCTCTTATATATAGCAAACAAGTAGGCAGGGTTTACAATGTCTGTAAAGGATACATATTATACTATACTACGAAGGTTTACATCACAATTCCCGGACGATACAGTAATAGGCAATGCACTCTCTTTGTCTATTACCGTATATGGACAGCCAATATGGATGAGCAGAAGGAGGGGAAATTAAAATATTATCAATTAATATGAGTCACGGTGAAACTGGGAAAGGCTGCTTTGGGTTTCCCAACAATGTTTGATTTGACTTCCTTTAAATTTTCATAATTCTGTGCTTAACATTAAAATTTTTGTAGTTCTAGCTATTACCTTACTGTAAAGAAAACCTACCCATGTTACAAAGGAAAGATGTAAATACAATATTTATTTTTCCACAAGTCAATTCCAAGGGTAGAAGTTGAAGTGACAGTGTTGTGAAGATATCTGCACAAAAAAAAACAGAAGTATACATAGTGTTACGTACAGCACAAGTACTGAACTGGAAAGGAAAATAAAGGAATAAAAGATTCGATTGTAGATGATCAACATGATAGAGCACATCCATGAAATGAAAACGGTCCAACAAATTTGCGTTTTTTACAGATTGCACATTTTTCAATTCTTCAAGCTGACTTCATACTTTGTATTGCAAATTAAAGATACAAATACTGTGTCAGTAGGTAAGATGATTTCATTGTTACCACAAAGTCAAAGCCGGAAGTTAACTCCGTTAGGAATTCAACGCAACTACGGAAATTTATACAAATTAAGCAACTGCCCACTTTAGTCACAAAATCAAATCAATAACTGTCTTCATCGCTCAACATTAAAATGAAGAAATTGTCCAAATAATTTGAATTACAAGTAAATCAAAGACTTCAAAAACGCACAGGAATGCAATTTAGATAATGGCAGGTGGAGACCGAGAAAGCGCGCATATCTCATTATTTTAGTAATCCAAAAAAACAAGTTCGAATGTTTTTTAAAACAGTTATAGTTTTAAATTGAAACGCCGTCAGCTTAAAATTTAAAATAACCACGAAGCTCATCACAATCGTATAACAAGACCATTGGGCGGTTTCTACAAACCTCACAAGAAACCTAAAATCGACAGCTAATTTGATTTAAATATAAGTCAGGTATCCACGCACAAATCATTATTTTCGACGAATAAGCACTTCTTAGAAAATATGTTAGATAAATGGAAGCAATGAAACTATGCTTTCTTTGGGGTTCAAGTTAGAAAGCACCATCATATGATTTGATACGTTGTAATAGTGAATGAGACAAAATTGCATTATAATAAAACGTGTGATGTGAAATAACCGTATAATAATACTTGGCGTACAAGCATAAAAATACCTAACTACAATGTGCGATCACAACATGACCAAAAACAATGGTTAGAGGTAGCAAGGATGCAAAAGCCATAAATTCAAGTTCAGTGGGATTTTAAATAGTTTCCGACTTTTCTCAGCAGAACTGAATCACTTTTTGAATTGAATTTTTTCTCGAATTCAATTTTTTCTCGAAATCAATTTTCGCACTTTAAACTTAATATAGGAACGCCTCGAAAAAATGTGTTTTCCTAACTAGCGACGTTTCGGAATCACTTTTCCTTTTCCTTTTTATAGAACCATGAAAAGATCAGAATGCCCAGGAAAGTATCGGCAGCATCTACCCTACCCTTATTGAAATTCAATCAGCTTTTTGGTAGCAAATACACAATTTTAATATAAATATTTTTTAAAGAGAATTTACACGGAAACTTGAATTTTAGATAAGAAGTACTGACAAAGTTACAAAGAGTGAAAAATGCACTATGAAACAGCGGACTATATAGCTTATAGAATAATGGCAGCGCACAAATCACTTGTAAGAATGGAAGTTAGTTTGATAAAGCTTCTGTCGCACTTTGCTGAATCAATGCATCATTTTCTCTTACAGATGATATCAAAATACCTCCCATAATGCATCGGATCTTTAAATGAATTTAGTTCGTGAATGTCACTTTACAAATTTTTAGAATTTTAATGACTCAAAAAACCAAATATTAAAACCTAAGCTTTGTACAAGCATTGCAGCTATTTTCCTAAACCGACTGTTGAAAATTAATCATAAATTGTCAATTCAAAAATTAATTCTGGATAAGTTTCATTTTTCCAAAGAAAAAACTACCGGATGGAAGGCATAAATAAATAGAACACAATAAAATTAAACAGGAAAGGAAATAAAGCTATATTACTGGAAGCAATAATGATAGGTGCAGCGGATATGTCGTCCCATAACGCACCATACCGCGTCCGTGTTTTACTGGACAATGAACGTAGTGTCAGTGATGACGATGTTAAAGATGTACCGCCTATATTGCTTACTTCTGCTGCTGTACCGTAAAGAACCAAATCCCATCGTATCAATTCAGCATCTGAAAAAACTTACATGTGAGTTGTAAACTTTGGTTTTTATATAATTCTACATGTAAACTGCGTTTTAAAAAAAACTTCGGAGAATTTACCATCCCATCCATCGTTATTGATTTCTAATGTCCATAAACCTACAGCCATTTCGCCCCAGTTATGAGTTGTCATGAAAGCCCATTCTCTGAAGCCCGTCCTGGAAGTATCACGAGCCCGTTTCGCTAACAAAGTTGATCGAGTCCCTATAACATCCTATAGTATTCGTTAAAAAGTTCACATAATAATCATAAAAAGTTTATATAACGGTGAAAACAATGATCTGAGAGCAACAGCATGGGAATCAATTGTACTTTATATGGAAAAATGGCTGCTATTTATTTCAAAATAATTGAATCCAATCTCCTACCTGTTTGGTAAATAAACTATTGTGATACCATAACTTACCTGAAGGTGAAGTGAGATAGATCTGTATATCACCCCGTTTGGGTGCAGTTAGGGTGATGATTGCCTGGACATGTTCAAGATACCCTACTTTATTACGAGGATAGCTTGCACAACCATCTGTATAAAGCTGCAACTGTAATCGATTGCCATGTGGAACGGTTCTAAAAAGAATACTAAAAATAATAAAATTAAAGAAAAATTAGGAAAGTGTCAAAACCAATGTTTCCTCTACTAAAATACAGAAGGAATTTTGAGAACACACAGATCTTGCCGGTATCCAGTTATTTTCTACCTTCTAATGCAGTGATCTCTATAAATTGGGTCAAGGCTAGCACAGCTATCTTAATATCAGTTCACTTTATTTAAAAATACAATATTTTTGAAATACAACACATTAAACATCGAGATTTTATGTTTTTTTTTACTGAACCAAGAATAAGAGAAAGATATACGCTTGCGTGCAAGTTTATTCTGCATAGTATACTCTACATTTGTCCAAAATTCTCTTCAGTAGCACATTTGGGAAGATATCGATCTGATTTTGAAAAATCTAATAATCTCATAGTAAGTAAAACATTTCCTTGCAAGTGTAATTCTCCCTTCAAATTTTGGCAAAACTTGAATAAAAAGGAAAAACTAACTTATATCTAGCCGGATAAAAGACGACACATTTTCTCTGTTCCGGAACCCTCGTCCAGTTACTAGCCAATCGGACCATTGCACCGGCATCCATTAAACCAAAACCAAATGAATGTGAAACTTTCTTTCCAACTCCGTTTGTTACCCAGTCTCCAGCACGAAGATTGAGTGGTCGAGCGGTGCGAACAACAATGTGCTGAAAAACAATCTCTTACTATGTTATCCCGGATATTTGCTGTGTTTTATATTTGACTCTCCATAGTTTAACTAAAACAACATCTGACGCAAATGTATTTTAATTCACTTGAACAACGAGCAAAATTCTTTGGAATACTTTTCGAGAATAACATAATATATACCCTAGCATAATATATACCCTATTATAACATAATATATACCCTAGCGATTGTTTTCATCAGCTAATTGAAGTTTTCTTTCCAATGAGATTTCTTTAACCAGCAATATTCATATTTAAGGAACGAATAAAGTTACCTGCATATCTCGCCATGTTAATTTAGGATTAGCTTCCAAAGTTAAAGCGGCAATGCCAGCTGCTAGTGGTGCACTTGCCGACGTACCCGTATGAGCATTTGTACAGGAATGATGTAAATCTGTTGTTACCTACAAACAAATTTGAAAGCATGAAAGAAATTTACCTTTTTAGAACTCCACTGACATTCCTAACAACAACTTGAACAACATATCAAACATGTATTTCAAAGCTGCATCGATGATGTTAAATTCTGTTTCGCAAAGAATGAAGTGTCGACAAATTTCCATTTTTTTTTCAGTCAGATAAATTTTTATATTAATGCCGAAGCCTACTGTCGTGGAGGGAATTCCAATGTCACTGAGGAAATGCCGTGGTAGTAACTCGTGGTAGTAACTCTCGTTAGTAACTGACAGATGGATTCGAATTTGGCACAATGGAGCTCTAAGTTTGCTTCGTTTTTGATGAATTTAGAGATTAAACATTTCCTGAACGCCCAAACTGATGAGTAGGACACAGCGAAGACACTTCATGAAAAGAACAAATATTCGCAAAAACAAGCTTTTTATTATATCTTTGCTTTTATTTATCAGTTTAGCTTGCCTTTAAACAAAATTTTACGAGACTCACAATCATTTTTTCACCAGTCGCACCGCTACTATACGCAGTAGCAAGTGTTGAACTACAAGCTTCCGAATACCACGGTATGTTGCCGTGTTCTGTTGCGGACGATATCGATAACGTATAAATACTATTAGTATATCCATCACAATTGCATGAGTCGGCATCTTTGCCGCCATTTCCGCTGGCCCAAACAAATATAGAACCAAGTCCACGGCGACCCTAAAAAAAAGCTCCTCCCTTTTAAAGTATAAAGATTAATTCAACTAAAACAATTTTTAAAAAACAATAAAAATAATACTAAATAATTTCTAAATAATACTAATCACTATTAGGTTGCTATCTAACCCGAAACAAAAATTTTCAGCAACTATTTCCCGGAACAAAATAATACAATACTTTCTCTTTCCTAACGACTCACCTCACGAATACCTTTTTCGAAAGCTCTTCTCGTTAATTTCGCTGGTCCGTCAACTGTTCTGCCATCATCGTCCGGTCCCCAACTTGCCGAATAAATGTCGATATGATCAGAATTATGAGCAAGACTGGTTGCTTCTACCGCATCGGTCACATCACCATCCAGCATTCTAATCCCTACAAAAAGAAAATTTTTGATTTTTGTAACTTTTTTTTTTTTTTTTTTTTTTGAAAATTTTTTGAACTACTTAGTAGTGGCCTTCTTGCTGAAAACAACTCCAAAGCCACATGTTTGGTCCAAGGTAACTGGAAAGTTCGAAATTATGTAGTTCGAAACTATGCAAAAATATCATTGTAGTATATCTGCTCATAGAAAACTGCTTTATTACAAAAGGAAAAACCTAATGAATGTATTTATTCACAAAAAGCATTCAGCATTTAACTGATGCTAATAGATAACAAAGCACTGTGCTGAACCACAAAACATTTTTCTGTAAGAGGAAATCTGAAAGAATTTCTTTTTTCTTTTCCTGCAATTTATTATCAGTTTGATTTAAAACATCTAAAACCCTCGACAACTATTACCAATCTCCTGATGACAACAATATTGAATATTTGAAATGATAAATTTTTCTTTCGAAACAGCACCAGCTTCATAGATTTTCATAAAAATTTACTCGATAGCTTGATCTTAAGCATGAATTTTACTACTTAACATGCAAAAGTGGACTGAAACATATTCCCTGAACACTTTTTTACATCACAAGATGCTCAAATTAGCTTCTACGAGAAATTTTATTAATTCATGAGCGAATCCAATCCTCCAAAACACATCCTTCTTTTCTTCTTTTCAAACAGTCATTCTGCATATAAACCCAAAATAGTACCACCAATTCGAGCATTGTAGGCGATTCCAACAATGCACAGTGAATTATTGAAAATAGCAGCTACTTCGCCAGCACATCGTGTTCCATGCCTGTTTTCATCTGTATAGTCATACCGGGGTGTCGGGTCTTCATCACGATCATTTACGTCGTAACTAGCTTTTGCATCCTGAAAACGAAGTATTGTTTTTAGGAAGCAAAATTCTACGAAGACAATGAAGGACAACAATCAGTCTACTTTGAATTTAAAGTTCCCATTTTAAAAATTCACATAATTGGGAGCAATATCTGGATGTGTTCGTTCCAAACCATCATCCAGTATCGTTACAACTACGCCTCTTCCTGTATAACCAAGATCCCAAGCTTCGCGTACATTATGATCCAAACCACGACCATACACTGCCGGATTCTGGAATTACTTTACAGTTGAACGGTTAATAAAATGCAGAATTAAGCACTATATATTGTGATTCCAAACTGACCAAATACCACATATGGGACCACAACGGATCATTCAAATTATAATTCCCAGCACTGCGGGCACCAGCATTCCGGTTGCGGCTGCTTGAATATTGTTGTTGAGCATCACTACTAGCTATTATTGTGAGATCGTCACTGATTTCATTGCCCTGAACATATTGCTACCGAGTATGATTTTTTGAGATGAAAGACATTACAACCAGGAAATTTTTTTAATTCTTTCATTCTCGTCCTAATTATTGTAATTCTTTTTACGTGAACAAACAATGTATATATTGTACAAATACTAAAACTGAGCTGATTTATTTTTAGAAAAAGTTTAGAAAAAATGGAAGTGCTGAAAGGAAAACTCTCTACTTACTCTTTTCAATTTTACATATTTAGTACTTTTTGTTTAAGTCTCACTAAAATATAAAAGCATTATCTTGTGTAGCGGTGATTATTAAATTATCAAATAAATATTTTATAAAAGCTAAAAAATGAAACTGAGTTATTCAAATAAAAATAAAGTGATAAAAGGCCAAATTCTTATTACTACTATCAACCAATATCTAAAGTAAAGCTTACGAAAGATGCTCACTTTAAAGCTCTGCAAGTGAACAGTCGGTGAACGACTGTTCACAGACATGTAACCACGTTTAACTCGTTTTTTTGCTATTTGTTGTTCTATCCATTCTACCTAAAAAACATGAGATTATTCCATTACGAACATCTCAACCAATACTCTCCTTTTAATTAAAACTGACATGTTAATCAAAATATTACAGCAACACGTATTACCTAATGCACCGTACTAATTCCAAAATTCTGATAAGTGCTCAAATAATCGGAGAACAATAAAGTTTCTTTTTTTGATCCAAATTGATCAGCATATCCATTTTACGAATGGGTGATCATTCACACTGCCCCACCATTTCACTACTAGAAGAGTAAAGAGTAGGAAAATAATTTTAATTACAACAATTCACAGATTCTAAAATCTCTGCGCAGTATCCGTATGGACAGAAAATAAAACTCCCACTTCAGAAGCTCAAATCTAATAACGGTAACATGAAAAGGATTTCTAATATTGCGCGTCCCAACAATTTGGAAAGTCACGATATATGAAGAGATCTAACATTACATGAAACTACAGAGTTTTAAAAACAGCACCGATTTCTGATCAATGTGATACTAATAATTCATCTCTATTCCCGAAGAAAGAGTACAAATGCAATGGACTTTTGAATCATTATCGAACTATAAGTTTATAAATATAAAAGAAAATGAAGACTTCACGTTAAACAACATTAGTTCATTATCTCTTAAACTCATAATCTGTCATTGATTAATCTATTACAATAGCTGAAGAAGTTAAATCAATGATTCCATGCTTTAGTAACCTCCTCTCTCATCCTACAAAATAATCAGTAAACCCTCTAAACAAGCTGGATGAGGATGAACAAATCTAATAGTTCAATGTGTTTACAAACAATGGTAAAATACGTTCACAAACCACTGCTAAAATTTGTCAGATAGCGACCGGTACCAACAAAGCATGATCTTCAATATTCTCATCCTCAGTACCCGAACTTAAACAAGTACTTTCGCCACGAACAGTGTAATATTTGGATGTTGGATGCCCTTAACTGACACAAAGCCAGTGGGCAGTTGGAAGACAAGAGAGCTGCACATGCTTGTGATATAGTACCATTTAAAGCTATACATACTTGTATTCAAATTAAAGCATTATAATTCCCGATCATACTAAAGCAATCACATTAGGGATCTAAAAATGCTCATTCTGTAATTCAGTGCAATGCGGAATGACCACATAGATTTAATATTAGCTTCAGTTTCTGAGACATTATCTAACAAAATTTTGTTCATACATTACACGATCGAATGACTGGAAATAGCGAAGAGATATTTGCTGTATCTGCTGCGTCGCGCATGACGTACATATACACTCGTAGGTAAAGATAAGAGTAAGTTACGTCAAGTATTCGTGATGAAAAGCCACTTGATTCATCCAAAAATTGTTTTTCTGTTTGCAAACATTGAGCACTAAGCGATAAGGGTCACTCAGTATAATACAGCGCAAAAGAAAAACTACAAACATCTGATCAATCCTTTCAATCTCTTTGTTTTCGTACATATTCTCTTTGTTTCCGTACATATATATATATATATATATATCAGTTGGTGTTCAATGTTTGCCAAAAGAAAAACAACTGCATATGTATAGTCCCTTCTAGCAAATCAATACAGTAAAAATCAAATTGTGAACGAAGAGAAAGTCGAACAATATCAATACTGAAGGAGCAAATAAAGTAAATGAGACCCACAAATATTTGGAGAGAAAAAAGAATCAAAAGTTTTACAGAAACCTTACCTTAGGTTCTCGCGCAATAGAATTTGTTTGGGCATTCCTTCTCGGCCGTGTCGACCTCTTTCTTGTTTGCCGACTTTCGAATAAGAAATATTCATCATTTGGCAAAACCTTAACTATAAACATTGAAGTTGATAATACTACAATTAACTGACATCATATCAAAAGACGCAGGTTGCGAATAACCTATGCCTTTTTTCAGATTCTCATCAAACAGTGTTTCCAGGTTTTGTTATCAGGAAATCCAGAGAAAGATGCCGGAGGGTTTCCAAAGAAATTTTTCGATATTTTTTAATATTCTTTACCCGAATTCAGGAAGACAAATCAATGTTTGAGTTGAATAGAAGTCAAGCAAAAATAAAAAATCAAATCAATGGATGAATAATAACTGTTACTAAAGTTCACTGGTTCCCGAAGTTTCTACAATCTCCACACTGATAAAATGATTCAAACTATAAAAAATGGTATTCAAATTACAAAAATGGCTGAATGGTCTGCTAACACAGAAATGTTGTTGTTAAAATCGACTATTGGGAATCTGAGATTTTTTAAAGCAAAGTAATCAACAAAACAAATATCCGAAAACCTTATGAAAAAAAACTTCCTGGCTTTTCATATTTGCAAAACCCGAACAACAGCAGTGTTTACAATTTCCTAATAAGGAACAATATATGTACCAAGAGAATCTGCCCACTTTAGGTTGATTTAAATTTTTATGGAATTTTGAGAAAAAGAAACAAACTGGTCCAAGATTGATGAAACCATGCTTTGTCGCTAATTTGTCCGCTTCCAAGATATCACCACCCGTGATACGCACGGCAAACTGATTAGTATACGCTTTACGCAATGCTGTTGACGATGACTGACTAGTTTCTGCTCCGTAACTGTTACTTATACTGCTACTATGATTACTGCTGTCGCTAATAGGCCTCAGTTCGGTCATCATATCAGAAAAACTTGACTCGTCTGCTGCTATTAAGAAGAACTCGGACATCGATAAAAAAGCGAATAATAAAATGATGAATGATAATGGGCAGATATTGGATGATGTCACAGAAGAATGAAAGCGGTGACGGGATAATGAGCGATAGTGCCTACTTAACAGTTTTAAGGTACAAGCCTGATTCCTGATGCAGTTTCTCTTCAAAACACCGCTTTTTTCACTCATTGCAGGAGATTTAAAAATATTCGCATTTGAACAGCAAGCCAATTCATCTTGTGCCATACTGTCGAAAGTATGATCTAATCTAAAAATAAGATTTCAAATTCTGGACTGGACATAGAATTATTTCTCCTCTAACAAATGAAACTAATGGAAGCAGTCCAAACTTCTTGCTCTGTCCTATTTAAACTATAAAAGCTAAAGCAAAATTTATATGAAATATAAGGTATTAATCAAATTTCCAAACAATTTTACAATGAATGTGAGTATAGCAATATGAAAATGAACAATAACTCACATTTCAACTCGACGAGCTTCACAAGCAGATTTTCGATTATCCCACAAAGAATTACAGTTTGGTACCGTAGGTTTCCTAGTCAACATCATTTGTTTGTATCACCGAAAATTGCTGTTATTTCCTAAGAAGCGAATGAGGAATGATGAAGACAAGGTGTTAAAGCACTCAGAGTTTGTAGAATTCATGAACAACAAGGATGTAATTTTAAAGGGAAGAGTAGTGGCCAAGGTGAAGATGTTCGGTATTAGCTTCCATACATATATAATTACACATTCGTTCTGAAATATTATATTTTAAAAAAATGCTGATACAAAAATCGTTTCTTCGATATCCACTGATCACATATTTCCTCGAAAATGAACACATGATGAGAAAAATTCCTCAAACAAATCAAAACTTAATATCGCCACAACTGACCAGTCCCGATACAAAATAGGGTAAAACGATAGGTAGATCAATAATGTATATCACAGGAAGAAATAAAACGGGATCCAAACAGCAGCGGGTGTTGTGAAAAAAAAAGTGAAGTAAAGCACAACAATGAATGTTTTCACGGGTTAGTAGTCTTTTTAAAAAATCCGTCATTTGGACTAATCTATCTATGTTAATCTGTTTTATGCCACAAGCTGATGAGGAAAGAGATGAATTCCTCAAACTATCCACAACAATTGCTAATGTATCGTTTTTGAGCAATCCATAAAAGGCAGCTCAAAATGAACACTATTTAAAAAAATCAAAATGAGTAGGGGCAGAAGCTTACTTTGCTTTAAGCATTGTTGGATTGCATTGGCAAGGGATGAACAAACCCTAATATACATTTGTTAAAGCATATATTTACTCCTCCTTCTCCTCCTCTTCTTCCTTTGCTTTTTCAGCCTTTCCCATGGCAAATCCTTTTTTTCATTTCCGATTAATTTCCGTAGTTTTTTATTCAGCTAGCCTAGAAATGTAAAACTAGTCTATTTCAGTAGCTCCTCGATAACCATCATCTATCAATTAGCAGAGCACATTACTCCGGTACTTCAACATTCTGGGGAGCCTCACTTTCATCGTAGCCTAATTAAACCATTTCTGTCATACGGAATTGTATATTCTTTCATGAATAATAATTGAGCTGAGCGCATTCAGAGGACTTAGTAAAATGAAAGGAAACAATGGAGGAAATAAAGCGCTCAGGTAGACAACTGAAGAAATAATCTAATCCTTATCCTACTACACAGAAACGACCATCTGCTGGTGCAATGAATCTTACATACTTTTTCCAACCTCAATAAATAAATTCAAACTCAGAAAGATATGAAACAAACTTCCAAGCGGTTATTTCCAACTTACTGTTTACCTATAATGGCAATTGAATCATTGTAAGCATCATAACAGGCCATGTTCATTTCTTTTTACCACTTCAGTTTTCTGAACTAGAACAAAAAAAATATATTTTGAATATCAAGTAATTTTCTCAATGGTATCGTACATAAATTGCAGTGTGCAGCGAAAAATTTCAGCATTGCGAATCTTCTGGACTTTTTACTTCCCGCTTTTTTCTCTTGAATTGTTTCCTCCTTCCGTTGGATGAAGCAAATATTTAACCTCACTGATCAGCAACGATTCAAGTTTTTACTTACTTAATTTAGAGTGAAGTGAATGTTATGCTATAAAAACAGCTCAAAGAAGTCTCGACATACACATCGATAATTTTGCTATCTTCTGTCTCACTCCTCAGTAATGTACTACTATTATCTTACGGCATTTCTCGGAACTCAGACTCTTTCATTTGGTTCACCATTCCGAAAACTTCAATTTATGGCAGCAGAAATACGTGCTTTCTAAATTCCTACTATTATATCAATTTATAATTCGACATACACAGCTGTGCTGCTAAATTTTCATTCAATTCAGTATCATTTTTTTTTGCAAAAACTCTTTAATTTTCATTGATTTGTTCTCTCACTTGGAACCTGACATACCACTTCCACAATGAATACGCATAAGACAGTAGACACTCCCAGTGCTGAGAAAGGCTACTGCGGGGTTTCTCGTAATATGCTCCATACAGTAAGATTAGGCTTACTGTCAGTCAGTCTTACCTCCATGTCCATTGCACTTTGCTCTTTCCTTGAATAGTGAACAACCTGCTATCTTACCTCGATACTCCACTGTCCGTTAACCTTTTACACTAATTCGTTCACTCATCCTCACTGGTTTTCATGAGTGGACGCATGAACATAGACGGTTCTATTATAATATGACCAACGCGAGATGATTATCAAACATTCTCATTGATTGCTTCATGGCCTTTTCAAATTCTCAAAAATACCGCTTTTCTACCTCTTGAAGTTGCATGCAGCTATCCAGGCAAAAGAACGGCCCTATTAATGGGGCCGTTCGGTGATAATCTCAGATTCTTAGCAACCTTTCTATTACAGGGTACCAATCTCCTATTGACAGCCGATCGGAGAATAGCACCGAGAAAGGTAGTGAAACCTTTTTGCACCTTACTGTTAGAAGTCACTGACTTGGCCGACTGTTATTCAGGAAATATCGTCTCCACTTTGCCACTAATGTATTCTGTATGGTTATCAATCTACCAATTTACCACTGATAAGCTTTGACAACTTGATTAAAATTTCAAATTGAGTGCTTTCATGTTCATGTCGTGATGGGTAATCAATCGTAGAGTCCAGATTCAACAAAAGAGAGAGAGCAATTCATTCAATGTCCTGGCTTCTTTCCTCAAAGTAGAATTCCGATTCTACTATAACTGTACTCACTTTATATGTAAAGAAGTTCTTATAACATTCTTTCGATGAAAAACTGTATAGGAGCAAAAAGAATAAAAACAAGTATATACTGATGAACTATTGCTCTAATTCGATGAATATGTGATTGAGTCTATCTTTCTCTTGTACGGTAAGAAAAATGTTCAGGAATAAAAGATGAAGTGTTTGAGAATGAACGAAAGTTAATCATCTTTAAGCTAAAGTTAATTTAAAATTAGTCAAAAGACTCCACACGAAAATTAATCAACTACAACAATAACAGTTAAAAGTTTGCAGTATGAAAATAATTATCCGAGGTAAACGAAATATGATGAGATGAAAATATTGTTTATGGGAACGCTTAAAGTTCTGAGGCTTCCATATTTTACAACTAGAAAAAACCAATTTTCATTAAGAAATTTAGGTCCAAATTCTCGCTTTTTTAAAAATTTCTGGTTCAAATTAAACGAGAGATTTCTTGATGACTGCATGCGTTCAAAATAAACGAATACTGTTACTTCCAAATTATTCCATTTCCTTATTTTTATTCATTTAATGGCCAAACTTTTCTAACAACGATTTCTATTTATTTCTTCATACCACGAAAATCACGGACTTTTATCATTTTCATTATCCTCTCTACCAAATAACTTTAGTTTCTTTCTCAGACCTCAATACTACTATTTTAGTCAACAATCTTGTGTCCTTCATTTCCGTCACTGAAAGCCCTCAAAATCAAATAAATGCTCTGATGTCCTCCCTCCATCCTCTAGTAAAGCCAAAAGTTATATAAGTTTTGGAAATTTGTTTTTAAGTAAAGCACAAATGGGTAAATGGCGAAAATACAAATCAAAGAAAAGACAGAGCGACTTGTGCCAAGCATCGCGCCCAGTTAATGAATTTGTAAAAGTGATGAATTATTAGTTGATAAGCTATTTATCAAACGTTCTCCCACAGTTTTTTATCGTTTCATCTTCTAAAATCTTTGAACAAGTTTGGTTTTTGTTCACGAGGCAAAGTTGAGGAGAAACTAAAATTAACAGCTTGTTTTTAAATGATATCACTAAAGCTCCATGAAAGTACGGAGGAATGAGGTGATACCAGATTGAACAACCGATTATCCTTTGCAAACTTAGACTTGAGAGTATCAAATCACGATTTTTTTCCCCTTTTAAACCACATGAACAGTAAGCCAAGCAGAAATCCCTATGAAATACCGAAATCCTAGAAAAATTCTGATTATATTAATGAAATATGAAAGTCGATTGATTCATACGATTATAACCCGAGATTAGATATTTAATTTTCGTAATTCGTTCGAGGACCAATGGACATATAAGCGCCGAACTTAATTTGGGGAGCGCATTGGAAAAAACGGCTACACGACTTCTAATAAATAATGAATAGAAAAATGATTAATGCAACTTGCCTATCTAATGAGAATAGCATGTGCACTATACCAAAAGCGAAATTCAATTTTAAACCAATTAACGCCCTTCTTTCCCCTTTGCTGTCCAAAACTCAATATTTGTGCTATCCTTGAATTGTTCCCTAAATGAACTGAATTCGAGTAAGAAAGGAAAATGCAGGTGTTAAATAGGAACGAAAGATAGGAACAACACATGGAAAAAAGAGGTATCCAAACTTGTTTGTAATAGATAACATTTTAAAAAAACACCTGAAATAATCTATCAGGAGGATGAAAACTGTTAATAATAAAACGAATGGAGTCAACACAAAATAAAGAGAATGAATATAAAAATACGAAGGTTAATTATATTAGCTCAATTAATTAATCTGAGCCAAAAGAAATTACCTAGAATTAATACGGCGTGTTTAAAATTATTCAAATTTGGTGAATATCAATTGAAGTTGCAGTAGCATTGGGCATTTAAACAGAAGTAAGTTGATATTATTCATAAAATTCAGAAACTTTTAAATATGTATAAGTTTTCATTTCCAGCATGTCCATTTTTAATTTGGCAACCACTCAGTAAGTTATTTAGCTTACATAGTTTATTAGTTCTTAAAATCCTTGTTGAACATGTAAAATTATCAAATGGCCAATCCGTTTCGCAAAGTGAGGAATACAGATACGGAACTAGTAGACAGGAAGACAGGACCGACCAATATTTTGAAAATTCAATCAACAAATATTCAAATTAGCATGTCAAATAAAGACCAAATCAAATCTATTTAAATAAAAAAAAAACAAGTAAAAAAAAATAAAAAAAAATCTATTTCTAAATCTATTTCTCTATTTCTATTTAAATCTATTTCTATTTAAATCTAGTTCTATTTCTAAAAAAAATCTATTTCTATAAAAAAATT